AATACCCCCAAGCTGGAGAGTGACTCACACTGTATATTACTGAACACATAAAAATATGCAGTGACTCAGAAGGGTCCAGCAGAAGGGACCAACCCCACAAAGGGCCCCATTGTTCGCATTTTAAAGGTACAGGGTGGGGGGAGCTGAGCCATGGCACACTGACTCGGTCCTCCTCTGGTGACACTGGTCACACTGCCCGTGGGTGCTGGGTGTGTCTTGGTCCCCTCTTTTTCTAGTGATATAATGAAGCCAGATAGTTTCATGATAAGAGAAGGCCCTCTAGACCTTCCCGGCTGGCTCCAAGTGGTGGTGGGGGAGGGGAGGGAGGCCACTCGGAGCAGCTGGCCCCGGGGACCCAGGGAGAAGGACTGTCACAGCCAAGTCACAGGATTCCTGACCAGGTCGACACTCCCTCCTCTGGCAGGGACCTCAGCAGAGGCTCTGGTGGGGAGAGAACACAGGAGAGGGGACACACGGTCAGGAGGAGGGCTCAGGGACCCCAGATCCTGGCTCCTGTGGCAGTGGTGGCCGGCTGGTCCCCGTGGGCACGTGAGTGGACATCAGGAGGGGGCCGTGTGGTGCCGAAGGGAAGGCAGGGCCTGGGAGCCTCATCTGCCGAGAAGGGCTGGGCAGGGGCGGAGCAGGAGGCGGCACTGTGTGGCCGGGAGGCAGAGGGGCAGGCACCTCCTGGGGTTACAAGGTCACCCACCCTTGGGAGCCCTCAGGACTCGTCCTGGAGGACAGGGGGAGGTGTGAGTGTGCGCCACAGCCCCCTCCATCTGCAGGAGGTCGGTAGTGACCAGACCTGATGAAGGAACTTGTGGGTACTTGGAGGTGGGCGGGGCTTAGGGGACCCCCTGGAGTTGCCCCCAGGCCTCTGGGAGCAGGCCTGGAGTGGCTGGGCTTCTGGTTGGAAGCCACCCTGTGCTATCTGACTGTAAAATACATCGTATTAAAGAGCCTTTATACGTGTTCCTCACTGTCCCTCTAATTCACCCAGTGCCCCGGCCGGAGGCCCCACAGGAGAGGTGCCCGTTCACCCCTCTGCTGTGCATCCCTGAATCTATTCTCCAGGAGACGATGACCCATCTCCCTTTCTTCCATTTGGGCCCCAGACTTTCTCATCTGCATAGTAAGAAGCTCCAGTGAGGGCCCTGGCTTTCCCACAGCCTGGGGTTTCGTGATGACAGTTTAAGTCAAGGGACTCAGATTCTAATTCCACTCCTGCCACTTCCTGGCTGTGTCACTTTGAACCAGTGACTCAACCTCTCTATGCTCATCTTCTCCTCTGTAAAATAATGGGGACTGTGCTCAGACACCGGGTTGCTTGGTCAGGCCCTTGGTTCTCAGGCTCCCTGTGCTGGCCTGACGAACTTCTGCACCTCCCCTTTCATCTCCTCCCTCCTTCCGCTCTGTCCTCCCTCCCCTCAGCCCCTCCCCACTTCTGATGGCCCCTGACAAGGCGTCCATGAGGAGCTTGAATGACATTAAAGCCTCAGGAGACAGAAAGAACCGAGATCAGGAAGAGGGATCTCAGGAGACCAGGGCAGATGGATGGTGGGACAAGAGATACCAAATGTGGCTCAGGGCTGCCAGACTCTGGGCTGAGACTAACAGAACCCCCCAATCCAAACTGGCTCAAGTGAAAAAGCATTGATTGGCTCACTTTACTAAGAGCCTAACACCACCTTCAGGTACGGCTGGATCCAGAAATTCAAACAGTGCCTGCACAAACGCGTCTCCCCTGGCAGCTCTGCTCCTCTGGGTTAGCATCAACCCCAGGCAGGCTGGTTCAAAGACATGGGAAGGATGGTCTTGGTTGTCTTGGCTTCTGATTTCAGACGACCCTCCCTCTCCCAACCTCCCCAGCAATCTCTGACCTGCCCTCTTAATCACATGTCCAGCTGTGGACCAGTCGCTATCTCCAGGCGGGCGAGGTGTTCACCCACTGGAGTCACGTGATCTTCCCTGGACAAGAGAGGCAGGCCCCTTGACCACCAGAGCCACCAGAATCACGTGGAGGTGGAAGGAGCCCTCCAAGTGACCTGTGGGTGGGGGTGTGGGGAGAGGGCCAGGTGGGCAGGCTGGGCTGACTGTGGGGCCGGCACAGAGCCCCGTGGCCCCAGTGGGACGTGGCTGGAGTGGGAAGGTGAGGTCAAGCCAGTCTGAAGGCGAGGGAGGTGGGGAACCAGGGCAGGACAGGGCACCTGACAGTTCAGGAGGTCTGAGCCACACACAGCCAGATCCTGGGTCCCCTCTTCTGGGGCTCAGAAGGCCAGCAGGACCCTGTGAGCCAGGTCAGCAGTCAGGACCTGGTTCCCAGTCCCCAGGCCCCCAGCCCCTGCTGGGCATCTTGATGAGGCTCTGGCCTGGAGCAGGCCCAACCCTGTGCTCCATCGAGACTCCGCCCACTGTCACCAGCCATCGCCCTCAACTGAGTCTCCCCAACCCACCGGGGACAACAGAGGGCCCGCTCACCATCTGTAGGCCAGTAGCCACGCCATCTCCCTTCCTTCTCATTCCAACTCTGACGTCCCCATCGTCCAGATTAGAAAGTCAAGGCTGGGAGAGGTTCAGTGACCTGCCAGGGATCTCTCAGGCCCTGAGCCACCAGCTTCTGCTGTGCGCTGAACACATTCTACTTGTATATCACACATGTTTTACGTGTATCTTCACTTAATACAAATCCATGGCTCTTCCCGGGCACCAGGAGCTCCCCTGGGCACGTGGCCTGCACCCTTCAGTTAACCCTCGTATAATCCTACGAGTAGGTACTTTTGTGACTCTCGTTTTACAGATCAGGAAACCGAGGCCCAGAGACATTACACAACTTACTCGGGGTCACACAGCTAGTAAGTGGCAGAGCGCTGGCCCAGGCCTGTGGCTGCAGAGGCTGAACCTAGGCCCAGCCTGACCGAGCTCCCTGGGGGACGCACCTGAGTCCCCTCTGAGTTCGGCACTGACCCAGGGAAGCACAGTGAGCCTTTGCTGAGTGGCTTTCAGCGGGCAGCGGAAGACTGTCCAGGGAATCCAGCCCACTGGCCGCCGGAGGGCCCAGGACCAGGGATCTCAGGACCAGGAGGTCTGCACCTGTCAAGGGGGCGCAGGCGCAGCTGGGGCAGAGGCAGGGAGAGGGAATGAGATGGACGGAGGCAGACAGAGACGCAGAGGGAGACAGCCACGCAGAGCCTGGCCCACACAGCCCCGTCCCCAGAGCACAGGGTCCCGGCTGGGCAGGGGGAGGAGTCCCGGAGCTGGGTCTCAGCAGCCTGGCCGCCCTGCACGCCCTGCACTGCTGCGGCTCCTCGGGGCCCTCAGAGCAGCTTCCCTTGGGGGGGGGCAGGGGGGGGCGGACTTGGAGGTGAAGATGCGGCTTTAGAGGAGCTGGAGGGACCTGGCCAACAGAGCTGCTCCCTCGTCCCTGCTCTCAACCTTCGAGGGCTCCCTAGTCCCCCACAGGAAGTCAGTGCATCCCACGGCCCTCCACGCCCTCCCACGCCCCCCACTGTGTCCCAGGTACCCACTCCTCCTCTGCTCCCCGTGGGATGTCTGGCCTCCAGGCCTCAGATTCAGCCTCAACCCCACCCCTCAGAGCACCCTGAGCCCCCCCCCACCCCACCCCCGTGCCCAGACCCATGCGTCCTGCAGAGCCTGGCTCAGCCCTGGCCTCCAGGGCCTCCCTGCACTCCCTGGTCCCTCCCTGGTCCCGTCCCTCCCCGGGGGCCAGCTTCCCTGCTCCCCAGCCTCGCTCCCCCCATCCCACTTCTTCAGAAACCTGTCCCTGGACCCTGGCTATAGCTGAGGCTGTCCAGCGCCCTCGGGCTTCAGGTGCCACCCAGCGTGTGCCCATGGTGACCGTCGGCGAGGATCCAAATGAGATGGTGCAGGAGAGACGTCTAGAACAGAGCCTGGAACCCCAGGGGGACATGGCTGCACTGTCCCTGCTGCCTAGGGGGGCGTGGCCCGTTGTACTTTCCAAATAGCCTCGCCCCCTGTGCCCTGGGACCTTGTCCCTCCCGGCAGAAGCTGAGCAGTCAGTCTGCTCCTGACCTGGCCCCCGAAACTCACCAGGAGAAGCGAAGCCCTGTGACATCTGAGGCCGGGACTCAGGAGAGACAGCTTCCGCAGCCGGCACCTCTTCTCCCGGGAACCCAGGCTGGCATTGTGAGCAAGCCCGGGGCAGGGGCAGAGGGGAGCAGGTCCAGCCAACTGCCCAGCCACCTGCCCAGGTCAACGCCAGACCCAGGTGAGCTGCTTCTATTCAAGGGAGTCCAGAACCCGCTGGAATAATGTCCCCCGGGGATCCGCGAGCCCTGATCCTGGGCCTGTGTGTCATGGTTTGGATGTGAGGGTCTCCCCAGAGATCTCTGCTCACGCAGGAGGTGAAACAGGTCAGGAGCCGCGAGCTGTCAGATCAGTCCAGGTGACGGGCGGGAGACCGAGTGGACTGACGGGGCAGTGTGGCTGGAGGAAGCGGGTCACTGGGGCTGACCTCGGGATTGTATTTTGTCCCTTTCTCTCTGTGGCCCTTTCTCTCTCTCTCTCTCTCTCTCTCTCTCTCTCTCTCTCTCTCT